GAGTTCACAGAACTGGATGTAGATTTCCACGGGGACAGGTGGGCACTGTGTTTGCAACATAGCTGCACTATCACAAGCCAGCCCAGAGAGGCGGGGACCTAGGTGAGACGGGGACCTAGGGGAGTCGGATCGACTCTTGCAGACATACTCTGAGCTTACAAAGCTTCAGCCCGCTCCCCTGACAGCCCAGGATGTCTCCCTTGGGCCTGGACGCAGCACAGGTTTCCAGGTGAGGTCACAGCACAGCTGTACCCCGTCTTCCAGGGGGTGGTTGGCACTCTGAAAGGCTTTCCTGAGCCACGGGTCTTGGGCAGGACCCCGCTGACTGCTGAACCTGCCAGACAGTGAGAGATTCGTAGCCCAGGGCAGGGTGGATATACCTCAGGCACCCACGGTAGCTGCACCTTCACCAGCCCTTGCCTAAGGGAGCCCCGAGGCAAGGGGAAAAGCCACCATCTGTCTCTGGAAATGGCCAGCCTGGCTTCAGACTTCCTTCTGAGTGCTTGCTAAAATAGCATCTTAGAAGTGTGTTAAGGACACTGCCTAGCTGCTTAGCTGCGGTTGACAGGGGCATGAATGCTGCTTTAAAAAGAAGCCCAGTTGGGAATCTGAATCGTCATTCTCTCCAGAGACCTGGTTCCCAGCGCCTCCAACTGGTCCCGTTATTTCAGTCCCCGCACTGTTTTCCTTTCCTTTTTCCTCACGGCCTCCCTCCTGTTATGAGTTTGTTCCCCTGTGGGAGGCATAGCCAAAAACCTCAGTTGTTTTCAGATTACTTAAAATACTCTGTTTTATGTTGGGACATAGCCGATTATAACAATGTGGTTAGCTTCAGGAGCACAGCGAAGTGATTCAGGTATGCAGTTGAACGTATATATACAGAATGCTTATAAAATGTTCATTTATTCATTTTCATTGTAGGATAGGTGCTTTCCAAAACTGCCATTCATCAGGATGAATCAGTCATAGGCACATATGTGTCCCCTCCTTGCTGAACCCCCCCCGCCTCCCTCCCCACCCCACCCCTCCAGCTCCTCACAGAGCGCCGGCTTTGGGCTCCCCGTGTCGCCCGTCAGACTCCTGCGGGCTGGCTGTTTTATGGCAGTGTATATGTTTCAGTGCCACGCTCTCAAACCATCCCACCTCTCCTCCCACTGTCCGGAAGTCTGTTCTTTATGTCTGTGTGTCCTTTGCTGCCCTGCACATCGGATCGTTGGTACTATCTTTCCAGATACCGTGTATATGCGTTAATATACGATATTTGTCTTTCTCTTTCTGACTTCACGCTATATTAGACTCTAGGTTCATCCACATCATTAGAACTGAGTTAAATGTGTTGCTTTTTATAGCTGAGTAGCCAATGGCACCCCACTCCAGTACTCTTGCCTGGAAAATCCCATGGACGGAGGAGCCTGGTAGGCTACAGTCCATGAGGTTGCTAAGAGTCAGACACGACTGACCGACTTCACTTTTCACAATATTCCCTTGTGTATATGTACCACAACTTCCTTATCCATTCATCTGCTGATATATACAGAATACTTTTGATTTGCTTTTTCAAAGAGTAAACCTTTTAGTTGAGCAAAATTTGGACAGAGAAGTGCACATGCTCTTGAGGATTCAGCTCCAAGACTGTCCACGAAATGAACTCATTAATGTAGGAAAGCTCCCAGGTACGGGAACAGCGTCAGCAGTCTCCTGGAAGCCCCGTAGGAGCTCCTTGCATTCCTGCCCGCCCACAGGGGACCGTCTGCTGGCCTCCATTGCTGGGAGTTGACTTTGCTTATTTTGAACTTTTCTTAAGTGGACTCACGCGACAGTGTGTCTCTGAGATGCACCCGTGCTGTTGAGTGTGGAATTGCTCAACAGTCCTTGAACGTGTGGTTTGCTCTGAAAGAACACTCAAGGAATAGCAAGTAGAAGAAAGTGACTTAGGACATGAATTTTAAAACCAATTTGAGCGTAGATGGGGGATCTCAGAGACCTTGGCCTTCTGAGTGTCTGAGCTGGAGGTGGAAGATGACTTAAGAGCCTCCCCTGCCCCCAGCTCCCTGCTCCACTCTGAGATGCTGCTCCCAGCTTTCTCTCTCTCCATCCCCGATTAACGATCAGAATGAGGTCGGACTGTATGCTGCTTGTCTGCCTTCTGGAAACACTGCTCACGTGAGACTGGGCCGGTGCAGGAGACACAGGAGACGTGGGTTTGATCCCCAGGTTGGGAAGACCCCCTGGAGGAGGGAATGACAACCCACTCCAGTACTCTTGCGTGGAGGATCCCAGGGACAGAGGAGCCTGGTGGGCTACAGTCCATGGGGTGGCAGAGTCGGACACGCCTGAGTGACTGATCACACACGCACGATGGAGCTGGTGGATGGTCCTGCGAGAGGAGCGGTGTGCTGCCCTTGCACCCGAGCAGACCAGGATGAGCTCTGCTGGGGCAGCGACCAGCGAGGGGTGAAGCTTGGGGTGGTCTCGAGCCATGATGGGCTTTACGGCTGGAGCGGGATGGTGTGCTGGGCTGAGGTGGGGGGCAAACCACCGTGGAGGCCCTACCCTGATGCCCCAGGGGAAGGGAGACAGCTTGAGTTGCAATAACATCACATTGGAAGAAAAAACAAAGAGCAAAAAGATACATGTATATTTCAAAGATACACACAAAAAGATAGTAGGTGTTTATGGGTATGTGTAATATGCAGTAAAAAGTGCAGAATCACACAGCCATGAACATGCGGACATGTGTGGGTGGACAGGATCCCCGGGGGGAGCTTTAGCTTTATCTGTCATCCTCTATTTAAAAGAGAAAGAAAAAAGTGAGAGTGTTAGTCATATCCGACTGTTTGTGACCCCATGGACTGTAGCCCGCCAGGTTCCTCTATCCATGGCATACTTCCAGCAAGAATATTGGAGTGGGTGGTTAGCCATTCCCTTCTCCAGGGGATCTTTCTAACCAAGGGATCGAACCTGAGTTTCTGCATTGTGGGCAGATTCTTTCCAAGGAAGCCCTTCTAAGAGAGAGGGATACAGTAATTTTATGTATACAATTACATAGTCAAATGCTAGCAGATTTTAAATTTTAGTGGTGAGGGTATAGGTGTTAAATTATTTTGGAAACGTTGGAAAGGCTTCATAATTTTCAAAAAAACTAAACAGTGAAAAACTGCAAAGAAATAAATGAACATGCTCCTAGAAATATATTACAACGGTCAAGTTGTTTTTGTCAGCATGGGAGAAGCTTGTGTGTCTCCTCTTGGCTTTCCAAGTTTTGTGACTGTAGTATTTTTTTTTATAATAAAACAATTATAGGTGATTCTTTCGATGTCTTTAAAAAGTAACTTTATGGAAGAGAAACATGAGTAGCAGACTAATGTATCAACCTCTTTGTATCGACCTCTTAGCAAACAGGGCTCATTTGTCAGGTGTGATTAATAAAATCCACTGGGAGGTATTAGCATGTATGGGCCTCATGTCATACAAAGGGCGCCGTGTTGCTAATTTTGACACCAATATTTCCGTAGGACTGAATTGATAGAATCTTTCTGAATGTGTTATTTATGGCACCAAATGAAAAAGATCTTGTTCAGCAGCCAGGCTCTAGGCTGAAAAGGGACAGACAGAACTGTATGCAGGCCCTTGTTACCCAATTTAAAATCAGCGTCTCCATAGGAACCAAAATTAATTCAGCACAAATTTTGCTGAATTGGGACCTAGGCCTAGAGGAGGGGGCGCATCTGACGGTCAGCTGCACAGAGGGGCCCAGTTCTCTCGCTGCCGGGGTCACTGCACACTCTGAACTGGGGAAAAAGCTCCTCACAGCCCCAGTTCACAAACACTGGGGAATCCAGCGTCCTTCCCACATTTGCAGGGAGGTGGGGACGTTTCCGGCTTCCTCCCAGTCAGCTCCAGCTTCTCGTTCTGGAATCCTGTCCCTAGACTGTTCCTCCTGAACTCGCAGCCCCCTCCTCCTGCGGGCTCCCTCCCCCGCCAGGCCTGAGGAGTCGGGGTGCGTGAGGGGGTGATGGAGGGGCTGTGCTGCGTTCCTGCCCCACAGAACTTCCCCCAAATGAGCACATCCCCCTGCAAAACTCCGCAATCAAGACCGTCCGCTCACCGCTGTTTCTTCCTCCTCCCTTTACGCTTCTGTTTTGGTTTTGTTTTTCTGGTCGAGGGTCTCCTATCCATTCAGCCTTGGGCTGCCTTGAGGAAATTTATTAAGCAGAACAATTTTGTTCTGATAGTTTTACTCCCTTCTGTCTCAGCTTTGCCCCAAAGGCTGTTATTTTTGCAGCAAAACAGTACCTCAAAGGGTTTTGTTAAAAAAGGATGCTCCACACGAGGTGAGAGTCTGCCTACAGAGTTAAATGGTCACCACCCTCTTCCCACAGTCCTGGCTCAGGACTAATGCAATTCGGAAATCGGAGTGTATCCAGAACCAAACTATAAATGGGGAAAGCAGTACGTTTTGTAGCTGTGGGTGTGACATGCGGGGAGAAAGCTAAGGCGCTAGATGACCCGTAGGTATTACCTGAATTATTGAAACGATGGGGTCAGAGGCGGAGTTTATTTGTGTTTATTTGCGTCGGCTGCGCTGGCCTTTGCTGCTGCAACCATACTTCTCTCTGGCTGCGGTGAGCGGGGCTACTCTTCATCGCGGTGCGCGGTCTTCTCACTGCTCACTCCTGCTGCGCAGCGCAGGCTCCAGGGTGTGTGGGCTCGGGAGTTTCAGCTCCCGGGCTCCAGAGCACAAGCTCAGTCGTCATGGCGCATGGGCTTAATCGCTCTGCGGTACGTGGATCTTCCTTCACCGCGGATGGGACCTGTGTCCCCCTACACTGGCAGGTAGATTCTTATCCACTGGACCACCATGAGGTCTGCGGAGTGTTCAGTGACATCTCTAAGACCAGCCTTTTGGGTCCTCAGGCCATTCAGCAGGCTGGGGGTGGTTCCGTCTGGTCCAGAAGATGCGCTGTTCTGAGAGCCGTCGGCGGCTTCCCAGGGGAAGCATGGAGCGGGTCTCAGCTCTGCTCCCGTCTGATGGATCACCAAGGACGAGGCAGGTCAGAATCTTCCTGCCTGAAGATGGGAATAAACGCACCGTCCAACCAGGAGAGCCCTGGAGTCCTGGGCCAGTCGAGTAGGGAGCTCATTTCTGACAGTGGAGACATCCCAAGAGCTGCCTGTACCGTAACAACCTCCTAGATGAAGAGAAAACTAAAAAACCAGGACCGAAAGAAACAGAGTCCTTCCCACGAGGCCGGCGCAGCCTTCCTTCTGTTCTGGGAATGAACCAGCTGTGAGTGGACATCGTCAGTGCGGTGACTGGGTGGAGGTCTGCTGGGTGGAGGAAGGGTGTCCAGACCTCGGGCAGTCTGTGCCACTTCGCAGGAAGGACGCGGGGCGGGGGGTGTGGGGGCCTCGCTCGGGACTGTGGGTGGCAGGGCTGACGCTCGGACTTGGACCTCATCCAGAACCGGGGCCGGGGAACCCTCGTCCCTGGGCTGTTGGCCCCTCATGCCAGGACGATCCACTTCGAGACCCGGCCTCCCTTTCTGCTCAGTGAGCACAATCTCAGGACTAACATCCAGGTTCAGCGTTTCCTCGCGGTATTTCCAGTTTGCCCAGACTAAACACACGTGTCCCAATCAACTCTGTAAAAAGGAAGGTGTTGAGTCTCATCTCAAGGTGAAATGCAGAAGTACAATAATTTAGGTTATAGATTCAATTCAGAGGAACCAAAAGATATCTTCGCCAAGCTCAGAGGTAACTCAAATGTTCATTAGTCTTTTTTTTTTTTTTTACATATTACAATTTAAAACTTAAATAATAAGAATACATTTTTTGCACAAATATACATTATATTTTTGCACATTATTTATTCTCATGACTATGAAATCACAGGATGAGATGGTTGGATGGCATCACCGACTTGATGGATGTGAGTCTGAGTAAGCTCTGGGAGTTGGCGATGGACAGGGAAGCCTGGCGTGCTGCAGTCCGTGGGGTCGCAGAGAGTCAGACACGACCGAGAGGCTGAAGTGATGAAATCACACCTGCCTATGCATACTCCATATATGTGTGTGGGTGGGTGGATGTGTTAGATCCTCAGTCTGTCTGACTCTTTGCGGCCCCATGGACTGTAGCCCGCCAGGTTCCTCTGTCCATGAGATTCTCCAGGTAAGAATACTGGAATGGGTAGACATGCCGTCCTCCAGGGCATCTTCCTGACCCAGGGATCAAACCCGGTTCTCCTGCATTGCAGGTGGATTCTTTACCATCTGAGCCACCAGGGGAGCCCCTCAGATACCGTAAGCAATGCTTGTGATCCGTGATTTATGTGTAAATGTTCATTAGTGTTGAAGAAGGAGGAGGAGGAGGGCAGGGGCGAGGGCGGAGGGCTGCAGTGGGGCTGGGAGGCGCTTCACGAGCCTGTCGCAGAGCGGGGCTCTGGAAGGCGCTGCGGACCTCAGCCAGCCCAGGAGGCTCATGAGCTGCCTTGCGCCTCCACCAGCCTGGCCGCCTGGAGCCCCGCGTGAGGTGGAGGGGCCGAGGGGCCGCGCGCAGAGGAGCTGCTCTCGCCGAGCCTGGGTTTGCGGTGTTTGTGCGTCCGCCTGCTCCCCCCGGGCCAGAGCAGCTTGCCTCAGCAAGCTAGCACTTCATGTTGTCGCTTTTGTTTTTCCCTTGAGTTGCCTAGTAAACAACTCTACTGGAAAATTCCAACCCTGCCTTGGATGAACTAAGAGGAAAAGCAACGTGTCCACACCCAGGCCAGCCCAGTGCAGCCAGGGAAGGCGAGACTGCAGTGCCAGCTGGAGCCTGGGGACATCTGGACGGCGGCACCGAATGGGGTGGACTCTGGGGGCGCTGCCCATGGCCCCTGACCTCCCCTCCACCCTCACTGCCCCCGACCTCTGGCCCTCCCCCCAGACCCCCCCACCCCGCCCTCGGCAGTCCTTTAATACTTGCTGCTCCTGGTCCGCAAATCCCAACACTCATCACTTGCACGTCTGTCCTCCTGACTCAGAGCCAGAGGCCAGCCCTGCTCTTGTGGCATCTCTGGGCCCCATGTGGCATTTACATAAAATCAGTGTTTCTTGCATGAGGCCGAAAGGTGTGAGATGGACGTCAGGGATGGTCTGTCTGAGCAAAAGAACAAAGAACAGGGTGAGGGGAGGATTCCTGCGTAACCTCCCTGGAGAACAAGAAGGCAGACAGCACCGGGGGGACCCCCGGGGAAATTCATTATTAGTGTGTAAATTATCCTTCTTTTGGAAAACGTGAAAGAATGTTGTCAAGTGTATGCTCCATCCGATGCATTAGAGTCCATTGGTGAGTTTGGCGGGTGGGGGCCGGGAAGGCGGGCAGGTGTGGTACCAGGAGGACTTCCTGGTTCGTCCACCAGGTGGCGCTCACCTCTTGTGCTCGCCCCCATCCACGAGCATCTTGTCCTTAAATTGCTGCAAAACATTCAGGATAACACCGGTGTTTGGTTTCAGACACCCTCCCCCCACCTACTCTAGAACATTCCAGACTCACATGTGATCTTGTGTCCCCAGGAACCTGACACTTGACTGTCCCCCCACTACCCTGCCCCCCAGAGAACCTGGCCCCAGGTTAGCCCAAGCGCAGGTGTGTGGACTGGTGTGCCTGGGTGACTGGTTTGAGTAACTTGCTGTATTTGAACCTGTGGCCTCAGCTAATCAGACCATTGTCCTCATTCTGTAGAGCCGCCCAGGTGATCTGTCACACCAGCCTAGTTCCTGCAGATACGCCTGGGTTCTTTCTGTACAAAAATTTTAGTTTCTGAGAGAAAGAGCTTTGGTCTCTGAATTTGATGAGAGGAGTTTTAAAAATGTGGACTAAACGACCCCGTATAAACAACGAGGAAAACCCTTGGTCTCTCTCTTGAGCTTGCACGCCATCCTGGTGGACACAATTGTTGCACTTACAGAATCGTTCTGTTATCAGAGGTAATGAACTTCATCGAGTTTCTCCCATCAAACAATTTTCCAAACCCCCACCGAGAGAACATTGACCAAGCATTCACAGAGCAAAGAGACAAGCTCCGAAGATGCGAACAGCTTCCTCCTGACATATCTCCAGAATCTTCAGGTCGACCCCAGTTTTCACCAGTTTTGAGACAATTCATGGCGACTGTCCTTCCCCATATCATGTGACAGGGCTGAGTATTGCTGATGTTGGAGCTGTGAGTCCTTCTTGGCTCACAACCTTGTTCCATAAGGGAAAACAATTTTCAACTTCAAAATGTTTATAACCGTGCACCCTTGGACAGTCTTTTGAAATGTCACCAGCTAGTGGTAACAGTCTGCACTGCCTCCCAGCCAATGCACCCTTATACCCCAAGTCATCCTGGGCTCCCTATGTCCAGCAGGATTGCTCGTTCACCATGGACAGGAGGAAGCGAGTCAGGAGGTCCAGCAATCTGTACAAGATGACCCGACAGGCGAGTCTCAGAAATCCCCCTTGCCTGAGTCCTGGGCCCGCAAGTCTCACATCGTTTGCTCTTCCAAGGGGCGGGCTCCCGCTCTGTCAGGATCATGGTGGGGAATACAATCCCTGCTCTCTTTGCATCCTATCGGGGTATGTGAATGCAGAGACAGTCACAGCACAGGCGTTTACTAAATGGTGATGAGGACCTTGGCGGAAAATGACGGCATGGCCAGTGGGCACCCAGGGGGTGGGGCCGATATGGTGGGCTTTTTAGGGGGCTCAGGCAACTTCTGAAAAGAGGCCTGAGAGTGGGAGGGGGTGGGCCATGCAGAACCTGCGGGAAACGCTCGCAGGCAGGAGAAACGCTGGTCACTTAGGCAGGTCGGGGTCAGAGCAGCAGGGGAACGGCAGGCAATGAGGTCAGGGGGAATGCAGGTGGCTTGCGGCGGACAGGGTGCGGGCGGCGGGCCACAGCCCTGGCCTCGGCTCATCCCCTGACTGAGACGGAGCCGTTGCAGGCTTTCAAGACAACATGCGAGTTTCCCTTACGACATGAATTTCTGATGAAACCCAGGGAGGCTGTGGCCCAGGTAAAAGGTTGCTATGCTTCTTTGATCGTGGTCTTCCTGGATGGGACGAGGACGGGTGCCTGCTGGGGGGGGGCGGTCCTTGGCAAGGGCCTCTCTCACCCACCTGGTCTCATTCTACCCTTAGAGTCGGCCGCATGAGGTAATTGCTGTTGTGCCATTTTACAGATGAGGAGACTGAGGCTCAGAGGGGCTGAGCGACTCAGTTCACAGGTAGCAGCAGCCTCCCTGGGGCTCGAACTGGACTCCCTGGCCTCTGGGGTGAGTGTGGGCTCATTCGTGTCTGAAATGGCCTTTTCAGTGAAAGGAAAGGTGATCCTTGCCAAAGGGCCTCACCAGAAATACACTTACAATAAAGACTGGTGAGTGTTTTGAGCGCTTAATTAGCACTATGGCAGTGTCCCTTCATGACATTTACTTGCCATTCAACCTGCAAGCTTTATTTTCAACAATGAATCTAGTAATATTTAATAACGTTTCAAAGAGGGCCTCTGACTAATCTTTGCTCCTATTAAAAAAACCAAATAACCTTTTAAACAGCATTTGTAAATGTAATAATTTGATTTTCCTAATTGTCTGATGAACAGGCAAACCATGCCAAACACTTAAGTAATTATTCCTGGAAAAGTAACAAATAAACTCTGGACACATAATGAATCTTACATTTTCTTAAAATGTCAACATAAAATCATAATCTGTCAGCTATTTAAACTAATGCTTTAAATTAGAATTTCAAGTTTGACCTGGCAACCCAGCACACAAAATACTCATAAACATAACAAATGGGGGAAAAAACAACGAATATTCACAGACATTTTTTGGTACCAATATTTTAAAAAATAGGATTGACTTATCTTCATTATTTTTTCACTTAATTCTGTATCTCTTCAAGACTAATGCCGTGTGCTCACTAAGGAAATGATGATATCATTCCAAAAATTAAGGGTTGAATTAATTCCCAAGTGAATTCTAGGGCCTCCTTACTGCTGGCTGAGGTCACAGGACTCACGGGAGTATCAGGCAGGAAGTGTGAACCAGAGGGTAGGGTGTCCAGGGAGAATATTCTCGATGGTCAGGCTGCACCGGGGTCTGTCCTTGCCGTGACTGGGTCTTGGGAACAGCTTGGCTGATCTGCTTGTCCCCTACCTTCGGTTCTGGGTCACCTCCTTCCTGCCACGCCTCTGTCCCCTGTAAATGGACTTCACGGTGCCATTTCTGGTAGAATTCTCCTCTAAGTTCTTTTCACATTCTGCACATTTGCTGCAGCCATAACACGCAGGCATCTGGGTGGGGCTGAGCCAGGCTGCCTGCCTCCCCAGGGCTTGGTCCGACTCTGACCCTGGCTTGGAGTCAGGCCAATGGGGAGACCAGGTCATGTGGGAGACACGGACCGGGAGGAAGGGGAAAGCAGATCTCAGTGACCTTGGGCGACCTTGAGAGAGGTCGGGGGGCAGGATGTGGGCACAGAAGATCCGTGAAGTCGTGGGTGGAGACAGACCCCCCCCACCCCGGCTGGTCGGGGCTGCCCGGCCCTGTGCTGACGGGCGGACACGGGAGGCAGCAGAGTGGCCCGAGGGCGTCCCTGAGTCAAGGTCCTGGGGCCTCTGCAGAGAGGAGAGAGGGCAGAGCTGGGAACCAGGAAGGAAACCGTGACCCGAGGCCACGTGGGGGTGAGGGGCTGGGCACTGTGCAAACGAAGGCTCGAAGGGCCTACACGGGGCTCGGAGGGGCTGCGGGGGGCTGTGGACAGGGATGAGGCTCAGCGCGCTCAGTGAGGTAGGCTGGGCCGGTCAGACACAGTGCGTTGTCTGTGTGTGCGTGTGTCAGTGAATGTGTGTGTGTGTGCGTGTGCGTGCGTGCACGTCTACACACCGTCCCGGGTCGGGCACAGCTGGAGGAAGCAGCAGGCCCGTCCCCTACTTGCCTTTGGGACAAGTCTGACCCAGCGGTGTGATTGCAGCGTGTGTCCACCTGAACGGCCGCGTCCACCGCGAGAAGGGGCCAGCGCAGCGATGTCCTCACCCTGGATCCCCTCTCGCTCCGGAGTAGGAGGAAACAGCTGAGCTCGCATCTTTGGGGACTGGTGGCTGTAGTTCTCTATGTTTATGAGATTTTCTTTTATCTTCAAGTACATTGAAAATATTGAAGTGGCAATATAAATAACCCCTACTCATTTTTTTTTCCCCAAGCAAGAAGTCTTTTGAATTTGTGTTGGTTAAGCCCAGGTTGTACACCCAAGATCCTCAGTGCTCCAGGCACCTCTGGGATCCCCCGCAGATGGCCGACCTGTCGGAGGTCCCCCAGAGCCACAGCCTGCCCGGGCCCGGGTCCACACACAGGGCTCCCAGACGGCTGAACTCCACCCTCTCCTGGGGGGCTCGCCACCCCACGGGCCTCAACGTTCAAAAGCAGAGAGAGGCCTTTGACACAGTCAGCCTTACTCTGCTAGGCTAGGAGGAGAGCTCCTGTCCACACAGAAAATGATAGTTTCTACGCGT